TCTCACAGAAGCAAAGATACGGGGTCTGGTGTATTAGCGGTTTATTGTCGGCGGTCATTTTTTAAAATGTCTATAAAATAATTGAAGGGTGATCTAACTCGTCTCTGTGGATCAAACGTTTCCTATGACCTTAAGGTACTTCCATACAAAGAGGACATTTGTATCATGACTGGAAGTTAACAGCTTATTCTTTGGGACTCCTCTAAATCATCTCAACGTCAGTCTGAAGATCGGCGTCTAAAGATCGGAGTCTAAAGATCGGAGTCTAAAGATCGGCGTCTAAAGATCGGCGTCTAAAGATCGGCGTCTAAAGATCGGAGTCTAAAGATCGGAGTCTAAAGATCGGCGTCTAAAGATCGGAGTCTAAAGATCGGCGTCTAATGATCGGAATCTGGACTCTCAGTGTTTAACGACCATCTGTGCAGCGTCGGTCTTTCGTGTCTTTGCCTCCAAACGTTTACAGAGTTGTTGGTTTGATTGACAGACGTCTGACTTCCTGTGTTTATTTCCCTGCAGCGAGGAAACACACCAAGCAAGACTCCGCCATGAACGAGGAGTGGAAGAGCATGTTTGGATCTCAGGAGCCGCCGTCCGCTCAGCCCGCCACGGTAACAAACTCAGATCAGCTGAAGCGTTTTTATCTGATCGATGATTTTAGCGCCCTCACCTCTGAGGAACGGCGTGTCAGCGCGGTGTGAAAAACCGCTGACAGGTAAATTAAAGAACAGGTGTGAAGAAGGAGGAGGAGCAAACGATAACCACGTAAAAAAACATCACTGAGAAAACGTTTGACCTCTGACCTCTGACCTCGTTCAGGAAAATCTGACTCTGTCATCTTCACAGGCTGTCGACGGTCCAGCGAGTCAGATCAGGAAGAGCGCCATGGCCCCGGCGCTGCCCGTGCTGCAGTCAGTGGCGAGCGGCCCCGCCTACCAGCGGCGCATCAACACCTGTAAGGTGGAGCTCCAGCAGCTGGTGCAGCAGAAGAGGGAGCAGTGCAGCGCCGAGCGCATGGCCAAACAGATGATGGAGAGCGCCGAGTGGGAGAGCAGACCTCCTCCTCCAGGTGAGAAACCGGAGCGCCGGCGGCGGCGGCGGCGGCGGAGATCTAGACCTGCAGAGGAGCAGCTGGGTCTGATCTGACTCGTGTATTTCTACGTTTCAGGCTGGCATCCCAAAGGTCTGCTGGTCGCTCACCTCCATGAACACAAAGCTGCCGTCAACCGCATCAGAGTCTCAGACGAACACTCCATCTTCGCCACGGCGTCCAACGACGGCACGGTCAAAGTGTGGGACAGTCAGAAGATGGAGGGAAAGACCACGACCACCAGGTGAGAGTCCGAGAACAGGAACCCGATGATTCGACGTGTGCTGAAGGTCTGACATCATCTCGCCTGCAGGTCCGTGTTGACGTACTCTCGTATCGGCGGTCACGTGAAGACGCTGACCTTCTGTCAGGGCTCTCATTACCTCGCCGTGGCCTCAGATAACGGCTCCATCCAGCTGCTGGCGGTCGAAGCGAACAAACCGCCAAAATCCCCCAAAGTGCAACCCTTCCAGACCAGGTGAGAGGAAGTGACCTCAGGTGAGCGCTGGAGGACGAGGACCGCTCTCTCCTGTCTCACCTGTCCCTCCTGTCCCTGTCTCAGGTCTCTGGACCTGCAGGAGGACGGCTGTGCGGTCGACATCCACCATTTTAACTCCGGCGCCCAGTCCGTGCTGGCGTACGCCACCGTCAACGGCTCTCTGGTGGGCTGGGACCTTCGCTCCAACACCAACGCCTGGACGCTCCGCCACGACCTCCGCCTGGGACTCATCACCTCCTTCACGGTGGACATGCACCAGTGCTGGCTCTGCCTGGGTGTGTGTGTGTGTGTGTGTGTGTGTGTGTGTGTGTGTGTGTGTGTGAGATCTCTTCATCCTTGAGCCCCTCAGGTCCAGGTCCAGGTCCAGGTCCAGGTCCAGGTCCAGGGTCCAGCTGACAGAGGTCCTTACTCCATTCTGTTTCATTTACAGGAACAAGCAGCGGCACCATGGCATGCTGGGATATGCGGTTCCAGCTCCCCATCTCAAACCACTCCCACCCGGCCCGAGCACGAATCAGACGACTGCTGATGCACCCGCTCTACCAATCATCTGTGATCGCAGGTGAGAGGGTCGAAAACAGCTGATTCTGTCTGTGACCACACAAAGAGACACATGCACTGACCCGTGTGTGTGTGTGTGTGTGTGTGTGTGTGTGTGCACGTGTGTGTGTGTGTGTGTGTGTGTGTGTGTGTGTGTGTGTGTGCAGCTGTCCAGGGGAATAACGAGGTGTCGATGTGGGACATGGAGACAGGAGATCGTAAATTCACTCTGTGGGCGAGCTCTGCGCCTCCTCTCTCCGAGATGCAGGTACGTGTGTGTGTGTGTGTGTGTGTGTGTACATGTGTGTGTGTGTGTAATCTCGTGGTCCTCAGAGCAGAAACAGCTCAGAGAGAGAAAGTTGAAGCTGTTGGAC